TTTTCCCCCTTAGTCCCCACCACTGCCCCCCAGTTTAAATGTTATCTTCAGGTCTCTGTGGCTGAGAGGTGATACAGCACCAGCACACATTTGGGCACAGGAAGGAGGGTATGAGCTTTCCACAAAAGCAATAAATTTGGCTTGTATTCAGATATAGAATAAGGAATTTCCTACAGCTCTTCTGGTCTCACACTTGCAGGTTGGGCCAGCTGCTTCCAAAAGTAAGCATATATAGAGACACTTCTCTCCAAAATTCTTGTTTTTCAAAATCAAGGATAAGGATTTGCTTTAAAACTTTTTTCCCCTGAGGCTGAGGGTCTGCCGAGTCACTTTACTAATACTGTGCCTAATTTGGAAATTACATGGACTTTAAAAATTTATTTTTTAAGTTATGCTGCCTGTAAGAAATGGCACCTATGCAGAAAGCTCACACCCTGGCAGACACCCACAGCACCAAATGGTGTCACTGGTCTTGTAGCAAAACTACCAAAGCTACATGCATTATGTCAAATGAAGAGATGTCCAGAATAAGGTGTTTAGAGGGTTATTTTCTTGTTGCAAAAAGGTTGGGAAGTTTTTTGAGCCACAGAGATGATCAGAGAGTTGAAGCACCTCTCCAGTAAAGGCAGGCTGAGAGGTTGTTCAGCCTGGGGAAAAGGAGGTTCTGGAGAACTCCATTGCAGCCTTTCAGTACCTAAAGGGAGCTTGCAGGAAAGACTGAGAAGGACTTTTTATCAAGGTCTGTAGTGACAGGACGAGGCGGAATGGTTTTAAACTGAAAGTGGTTATATTAAGGTTATATTAGATATTAGGAGGAATCACTTTTCCCTGTGAAAGTCATGTGACACAGGAACAGAAAAGGCATGGATGCTCCATCCCTGGAAGTGCTCAAGGCCAGGTTGGATGGGGCTCTGAGCAACATGAGCTAGTGGAAGTTATCCTGACCCATGGCAAGAGGGTTGGAACTAGATGATTTTTAAGGTCCCTTCCAACCCAAACCATTCTGATAACATGAAGGAGTGGCCATGAGCGACTGGAAAAGTTTGGGTTACAGATTCCACATTATTTACACGGTGGGATTCTTCATCTTTTTGATGGATAGAAGAAGGCAACATTGACTCTACTTGTCCATTACACAGTAAATTATAGAAAACGAGATTTCATTCGATTACACAGAAGATGTAGCTGTCAATTTGATCACATTAATGGAAATTCATGCAAAACCTGTATCAGAAAAAAGTTCTGAGTATCCACCAAGGAGTGTGAGAAAACAAGGAGCACAGGTTCTGAGGCCTTTTGCTGCAGTAGTACTTGGCCTTTTGGGACCCTGGTACATGGATGATCTTATTCAGCAGCTCAGCAGCCACAGGTGCAGCTGGACAAACCCAGCCTGGGCTGACACCGCTGGGGCTTAAATTTGCCTGCAGCAAGACAAAACACAGAGCTTCAACTAAACAAACTAAAAGGAAACATCCTTTCAATTCCATCAAGTTCTTCAGCTGCTAAAAGTAGGGAGGCCACAGGCTGGATCAGTGCAATGATGTAGAAGTACAGTACAAGCAAAATACTGTGACAGTGCTTGAGGACAAGAGAGAGACATGAGCCCCGGCAGACGTGGCACGAGCAGGCAGCGAGGGGCTGTCCAGCAGTCACTATGCTGGCTGACAAGAGCCAGCACAAACCTTAAGCAGGTATTGTTCCTCCCTAGGAGTGTGCAGGCAGGTTTTTTTGACTCTCCCAGACATCTTGTACCTCCTCATTTAGGTGTCCCATTCCCTTGTCAGCCCCCATGTGCCATTGCTGGCTTCCAGCTGATGAATGAAAGGATATTTGCACTTCCTGCTTCTTGCAGGGAGGAGAAACGCAGCAAACCAGTGCTTCATCTTCTTCCCCCTTGTCAGCTCTGTCTTCACCCATGAATCCCCCAGGACCTGAAGTCCTGCTGGTGCTGTCTCAAGTCCATAGCATGAAAAGCAGAGAAGGGCTCCTTAGGCTTCCCAGACACAGCCTTGCCACATTCCCAGTCCCAGTGTCCCAAAAAGTCCTGCATGCCTGGGTGGGTTGCTGGAGGTGAGCATGCTGAGGCATTACCCTTTTTCCTTACCTTCCCTGGGTGGCCTGTCCTCTATTCATGAGGAAAAGCCAGTCAGAAAACAGTGTGATTTAACTGCTGTCCCTGAAGGGGTCAGGGTCCTGGTGTTTCTCAGATTCACAGCCAGCAGCCCAGAGTAAGTTTAAGTTTTGTCTTTTTTCTGCTTCTTGGAGAAAAGTTTCTTGTGCTTTCTTGCCAGGTTTAAATACTTTCCTTGATTTGGAGCATGAACCTCAAGGAAGTTTTAAAGAATTTATTCTGAAATTCAGATGATCACCTGCTTCTTACTGCTGTTTAAAATTACTGGATCCCAGAGACAAGCTGTGACTCGGTGGGTCAGGTACTCAGCAGGACAGATGAGGGAAATCAAGGGCTTGTCTGTACTTCTCTGCTCATGAAATTACATGTGCAGATGGGAACAGATTCAGCTGCTGAGATGCCAGACAAATCCACCCCAGGAAACAGCAGAGCATGGATGTCATCCTACCTCCAGTACACTGCTTTGCTAAGTGCCAGGTATCACTTGCTCACATGCTCCTGGATGCTTTGCTGCAGGTGCTGCAGCACCTCAGGGTTTCACATCCTGCATGGCACGTGGAGAACCCCCTCAAACATTCTCCTGAAATCACACATCCCAGGCTCAGCAACAAACACAAACAACTCACCCTCCAGGGGGTGGCTCCTGTTGCTTGGGTTTGTGGGACAGGCATTGACAGGTCCAACCACAAGTTCTGAACACACCTCCAGGTCCTGAAGACCCTGCAGGCAATGCTGCACCCTCTGTGGTGGGGCTTAGATGTGACACAGATGGCTTATATTGAGGTTTACACAGCAGTTCTGTGCCTTCTGTTGAGGGATTTTGAGACTGTAATTGCCAGGAGGCAAGGTGCCCAGTGGGGGTCGGGTGACCCGGCTGGGAATTAGGTGTCTTTTTTGGAGTAACACATGATGGGCATTAAATAGGCATGTTCAGGCTGGCACAGTGGCATGCCAGCGCTGGCTGACCTTTGGGGTAAGGGCTGCGGTGAGCTGGAAGCGTAACACAGCTCTGCAAGCAAACAGTTAAAGGGGTGCTTTCCAAGACAAATCATAATTTTATGGCTACAATGGGTGAGCTCTCACTCCTTCCAGCAGGGCAAGGGGAGAGACAGCAAATATCAGACTGCATCTCATTTCTAACTGCCATCCCACATCTCGTGCATGCACTCTTCTACATTTATACAGAGGAAAAGGGTCCAGGAGCACCATGTTCCCTGCTGGATGGGTGACAGGGAACAGGCCAGGGACAGGTGGTGCAGAGCTGTGCATCATGAACAGACCCCAGAGAAAGTCTGGGGTATATAGAAGGCAAAAAATAACATGTAAAATGATTTGGGGCATATTATTTCTTTGACAATGTGAAAAAAACAAAAGCAATCATTTCTTGTGTCACTGTCAAGTTCAATGGCTAATGCTGGTGTAGATGGAGGTTGTGTGTAGAAAGAGGTTGTGTGATCAATCCTCTGATGAGAAAGGAAATCAAGTTAATTTAAACATATCTGGCAGCACTAGAGTTAAAAGCAAAGCCTCTCCAAGCGAAACCTTAGCTGCCAGATGCAAAACCTCACCTGCCAGGCACTGCACACTTACCCTGATCCCACAAACCTTCCCACGTGGAGTTTACATCCAAAGGGAGAGCATGTACCAGTCTTGTTCCCAGCTACTTATGTTAAAATACACACCCCTGTGATAAACAGCTGCGGTCCTGCAACAGCTGCGGTGGCGGCAGATGGAGCCCTGCCCGGAGAGGGGCAGCAGGCCCGGCATGACCGGCACGTCCCCACGAGCCCCAGAAAGCCACCGCCACCTCCGGGCGAGTGGCACCGCGCTCCGCAGGGCACAGCTCCATGCCAGCAGCGTCAGCTGCGTGCTGGGCTGGAAAGTCGGCGCCTGGGATAGTCCTATTTAAATATAGAAGGGTCTTCTGGAAGATAAATAAATAAGTAAATTTTTTTTACAAAGTAAATTTAAGGGCGTTTTGTTATGTGTTTACTAATTCAGTCAGTGCAGCACCTGGGGGTGGAGCCAGGGTTTTAGAAACTATTATAGAACTAGAAAACTTATATTTTAGCTGAAAGTACTTTCAGTTTTCTGGTACTTCCCAATTTAATAGTAGTAGTTTGTGGGATGCAAGGGGTGGCAGGGGTCGACAACATGCATAATAACTTAATGTAAGGTTTTAAGAGGCATAACTTCATGCAGACAGTGTGAGGCAACTAAAGATGCCTCAGAGACCCCTGTCCCACCACAGGGTCCTGCCAGAAGAAATCCAAGTGGCCACCCTCTCCCCGGAACGGCGGATTTACATCCTCCTCGAGGGAAGCTGCCCGTGCTCCAGCGAAGGGAGACGAGCCTCCGGAGGGCGCTCGGGTGATACACAGAGACACGCGTGGGGCAGGCAGCATCTTCCCCGTATCGCTCCATCCCAGGCGCTGCCGGGGAAGCGCGTGGGGGGGATGCAGCATGGGGCTGGTGGCGGCGGCGGGGTAAAATCAGCTTTTCCAGCCAGCTTTTCCGCTGGCCCGCGCGGGAAAGGGAAAGTCAAAACTCAGCCGGGGGAAAGGGCGCCGGCACCGACGTCGGGGCAGCGCTCTCCAGGGACGGGACGGTGCGGGGAGGGCGGCAGGCACACGAAAGGCACCCGCACCGTCCCATGCCCGCGGTGGGGGCACCTCGGACCGCGGCCACCCTCCGCCGGGAGGTGGCAGCTCGCTGCGGCGGCAGCCCTGCCTCCGCGGCCGCGCACCCCACCCGCTCCCGCCCCCGGGTCCCCGGGGGTGCCGGGAACAGTCGTTCCCCGTCATTGGGGCAGGAGGCGGGGCCCGCGCCGTATAAGAAGGGACCGAGCGGGCGTTTCACTCCCAGGTCCTGAGACGCCTTGTCCCATCCCCGCTTCTTACCGCCGCTCACGGCGTGACCCGAGCCCGGATCGGCCCCCTCGGGGAGGCGACGGCGGGGCTACAGCGGCAGCGCCGGTGCCACCGAGCAGCAGCAGCGGTGCGAGCAGCGGCAGCAGCGGCCCCGCTCCCACCTGCCCGTGACAGAGGCTGGAGCTGCGGCCGTCGCGGAGCGGCGTTTGGTGCCCGCGCCCCGGAGCCCCCGCGCCGCGGCCGTGCGGTGCCGCGTCCCGCTCGCCCATGAGCGCCGCCGCTCTCTACAGCCTGGACTCCCCGGCATGTTATAAGAGCTGGTGCCTGGAGCCCGCCAACTTCTACGACGCCAAGGTGGGCAGCGGCGGCGGGCCGGGTCCCGCCTGCAAGCCGGGGGCCCGCGGCGGCTGCGGGATGAGCGGCGAGGAGGCGGGGGGCGGCCTGGGGGGCAGCGGCACCAACCTGGCGGAGCTGAGCGCCGCCGCCCCGGCCATGTACGAGGACGAGAGCGCCATCGACTTCAGCTCCTACATTGACTCCATGTCTGCCGTGCCCAACCTGGAGCTCTGCAACGACGAGCTCTTCGCCGACCTCTTCAACAGCAACCACAAGCCCGAGCGGGGCGGGGAATACGGCGAGTACTTGCCACCGGGCGGCGGCGCCGGCCGCGACCCCGCCAAGGACCTCGGCGCTGCCATGACCACCCTGCTGGGCTCCGAGCCCCGCACCGCCTCCTCCTCCTCCTCCTCCTCTTCCTCCTCCTCCTTCTCCTCCCGCGGCGCTCTGAAGCAGGAGCCGGACTGGAGCGACAGCGACCTCTCCTCCTCTCTGCTGCCCTCGCAAATCGCCACCTGCGCCCAGACCATCATGAACCTGAGCGGGCAGCCCACGCCGCCCACGTCCCCCGAGCCGCCGGGCAGCAGCTCCCCCTCCAGCTGCAGCACCCGCTCGCCGGGCCCCGCCGCCGCCGCCGCCGTGCCCGGGCCGGCACAGGGCGTCCCGCCGCCCGCCGCCGCCGCGGGCAAGGAGCGGGGCGGCAAGAAGTGCGTGGACAGGTTTAGCCCCGAGTACCGGCAGCGCCGGGAGCGCAACAACATCGCCGTGCGCAAGAGCCGCGACAAGGCGAAGCGGCGCAACCAGGAGATGCAGCAGAAGCTGCTGGAGCTTTCGGCCGAGAACGAGAAGCTGCACAAGAAGATCGAGCAGCTCACCCGGGACTTGACCAGCCTCCGGCACTTCTTCAAGCAGCTGCCCGGCGCTTCTTTCCTGCAGCCCGGCTCGGGCACCGACTGCCGGTAACCGGGGGGGAGCGGGACGGAGAGACGGACTCCGGGAGACGGTGGATAAATACCTCAGAGGGCCGTGCCGAGCCTTGTCGGGCCGTGCCGCGGCGCCCCGGGCCGGGCCGGGCGCGGCATGAGGCGCGGAGCCGTGGCGGGACCTGCCGGCCCGCGGCCGCGCTCGGAATGCGGCAGCGACGTGGAGCGATGCCTGGGTCTTTCACCACGAAACTTTGCGAAAAAGGGAAAAAAAAGCTAAATATATTTTTTTTTTTTTCTTCTCTCCCCTTAAATTATTTTTGTAATGGTAGTTTTCGTCTTTTCTACATTTTACTCATACCGATGCAGCTATGGTACATCTGTTAAAATGATTCAAAATCCCATGTATTTTAGACAGTAGGATGGAAAAAAAAAAAAAGACTGAGCATGCTCAAACTTTTATATCAATTTTTACAGCATTTCTAAGAATAAAGAAAAGCATTTTAAATCAACCCTGCTCTCGTTTGCTCTGTGTCGTGATAGCAACGGGCTGGCGGCGGGGAAAGCTGTGCTGCCCGGGAGGGGGCTGAATACGGGCGGGGAACACGGCGAGGGGGTCTCAGGGGCCGAGAGGGGAGGTGAGGGCATGTCTGGGGGCGAGGGCCCCTGCGCTACTTCCCGAAGCATCCAGAGAGCGATGCAGGGGTGGGAACAACCGTGAGACCCCTCGGCCGCGGTGGCTCCGAAGTCTGCTCCCCCCGGAGCTGCATCGCTGAGCCAGAGTGCTGAGTCAGGGGTTGCCGCGGCGCTGGTGGGACCAAGCAGCTGCACATCAGGAGAGACTGCTCTGTGAGCAGGACTCTTGTCAGAAATACCTATATTCTATATCTTTTAAAAAAAGTGTATAGGACTAGAAAAACACCATTAAAAGAATACCACTAGTTAAAATTCCTGTTAAAAAAACTTCCAAGGGGTTTCTAGATAATGCAAAGTTGCACCTACACTAACAGTTCCATAGCAGGGACCAGAGCTCACCTCAGTAGTGAGTCTCAGAGGTGTTGATGCACCCTCAGGCTTCAGCCCACTGCAGGAGCTGGACACTTTCACTAATCCTGGCTAGTGAAAGTGAGAGTGGGCAACTGCTGCTCATCACAGAGTCAGTGGTCACAAAGACTTTCACTGATCCCTGCTAGTGACAGAGCGGAAACTTGCCTAAATTTCAGTAGTGCAGTGTTAGAACACCTACAGCATCTCTAGGACACAGGAGAAAAATGGCCTGACACAAGCACCTCCAGTTTTCCCAGAGACTCAAGTCTATTTAGGTTTTGAAGGGGCAAGCCCAGTCTCACATACAAACCTCTACACAGGAATGGGCTGTCATCTCCTTTTTCCTTACAGGGAGGCAGGTAAGAGACTGAAATGCTTGGAGGCGGTGGGGAAGAAAGGGGCATTCAAAAGCTGGGTAATTTCTTTAGTAATTGTGACATCTGTAAGACTTTTCACTACTGGCCTGAGCCACAGAAATGACCAGTGTGGCAAGTTTGGTGTTCCTTCTCTGCTGGTTAATCACATGTGGGACCTGTGCTAAAACCACTTGTTCCTCCTCCTCTGACCTGTAAGGGGCTTTTAAACACTGTGAAAGAGTAAGGGGGAAAAAAAATCACACAGTTTCTAATTATTAAATGAACTCTTGCAATGCACACAGAGGAAGATTCTGGCATTTATCTGATCTGTATTCTCCACAGTCTGGGTGGGGGTGGTTGCGTGGCCTACAATGCAGTTTGCTGCTTACCCATAAAAGAAAACTACAGTGAAACACCCGCTTTGTGGGAAGCTACAGATAACACACAACTTCTCTGCTGAGAGACCAATTAGCTGTAAAACATTAACTTTATATGTGTCCAAATCTCTGTCTTTATAACAACTATTGCAAAGTGATAACTCAGAATTCACATACCACGCAGGCGTTTTGCAGCAGGTCTGGGATATACTGATAAAACTCAGCTTAAACCAACTGGCGTAGCAAGTTATTTATTTCAAAAATATCAGTAATTTTTTTTTAATTGACACATAATAAATACGGTAATATTAAAAATAAAAATAAATCACAACCATTCAAAACTTCCAGAAAAACATGTTTTACATTACATAACAGCAAACACAACAAAGAACTGTATTCTGAGATTCTGCACTGATCAGAAAAAAAGTTCAGAAAGTTGAATAATATACATTTTTTTCAGTGTTAGCACAATGTGCTTTATAAATCACAGTTTTAATAAACTATCTTAATGCTTATCACACTTGCATTATACATTATCTGTGGCACTAGTTAACAGATAATCTCATTACAAAGTCCACAGATACCATAATAGCTGACTAGAGTTCAACTCTGTCTTGCTGCAGCTTCCAGAAGAACAATTTCCTCCAGCGCAACACAGTTGGGGTGAGTGGTTGTGGAGTGGACGTAGCAGTTCAATAACCCCACCTCCTTTCCCAGCACGCTCTGCACCTCGTAAATCTGCAGGAATAAAAGCACGGTGAGTAAAACAAACAGTGCTGGACGTTCTGTTCTAGGCAGCATTCAGCTGGGAAGATGCAGCATGAAAGATCCTCTTCCAACACACAATTTTTTTAAAGGACTCGGAAAGTGCATTAGAAATAATGGAAAGAATGAATATATTAGATTTTCAGTAATTAGATCACACTCCTGTCTCAGTTCCTGCCCTACCAGGCTTTAAAAATGAGCTGTTTATAAAAGAAAAAAGTTACTGTGACTTTGAACTTAGTTTTGCTGAAGCATAACCTATACACGCTGCCTTTATCTTCCTTTCTGACACTTGCAGGCCTCCATGCATGCTGGCAATGTGTATATACATACTATACATTGATTACCTGTGCTAACTGATCCACTAAAGGAAAAACCATTTTGTAACCCTTCTTACTCTCCTCCCTCTCCCACCTTTCAGCATTACCACCACCAGCACCATCTCAGTCCCTCCTGTTTAATGATCTGAGCTGCACTTCACCCACGAGTTGTGCCTGAGCGAATTAGCAGAGGCTGTGTTCTGTGTGGAGGAGAGGGATGCGAGGCTGGCATGGCTGCACTAAGAGGATAACACAAGAACTGGTAACACTCATAGTTGATATTTCACTTGAGAGGATATCTCAGGTGGCAGGTTCACATCCACTTCTTTCCTTAATAGGCCTTACCTACACCAAGCCTCTGACTGTGCCCCTGCCTTCATCTGTGCTGTGCTTCTGTCCAGCTATGTGATACCCATGGTGTTGCCTGGTTCAAGGTATAAACAATCCTTTTTCTTTTTTTTTTTTTTTCCTGGATTATTTTTCTCCCAGACCGGTTCTGCAGTCCAGTTCACTGTGCAGCTGCACAAACAACTCTACTGGTGTAGCAGAAGGGCTGCCACAAGCTGAAGAACAAGTAGCCAGGGCCAGTGACGGCTAAAACCAACCTCCCTGACAAAATAATTGATTACAAAGCTGCACCCTTAGAAACTTTAGCAGCACCAGTAAAAAAAGGCCACCTCAGGTGGTATTTCTTGTGACTAATCTTTATCCCTGTGTTTCAGCCAGGGCAGAAAAAAGTCTGAGTTGCCAGACTTCTAAATACTGGCATTATACACACTGAAACATGAAAAAGAGGTCGTTTGAATTCAAATAACTCGAAAAAGAACTATGTTTTGCCAGTCTGTAACCAAACCAGACACATACTGTAAAATTCTGCACGACTTAATTGCTATTAAAGGAGCAAATACATTTTAGAAATACCTTGTATCTCTTTGCTTAAATTAAATATATACCCTCCTCCAGTATAAAAAAATAATTTATAATTTCAGAGTAACTTTCCATTTTAAATATTACCCACAAACCCCACTAAAAGCATGGAGCACGTAATAGGAAAATACTGGAAAACTTGTAAGACAGGGAAAGCAAACTGACCCCAGTACATATCACTTAACAGAAGATATTTAACTGGGATGATTAAACAAGGCAACAAACCGACCTTTGCTCCTATCCACGTGCAAGGGAGAGGGAAAATCTTGGAATCCTAATTGGACTTAATGACTTTCTGAAGGCTGAGACCATCCAGCAGCCAATGCCAGCCAGGCACCTACCCGGGTGCCTCCCTCACCCACAATAAATCTGGGTCACTGTGCCAAGTGTCAGGGTTCTTCTGATATCTCAGATTAAAGGAACAACTACTTCACAGTTACATAAACTGTACTTTAGCCCATGGATCTACATGGCTCATGTGTGTTTCATTCATACAATTATGAAGTAATATGTTGCATGCCTTTTGCAAATTCTTCTACTATTTCCACTTGCCAGTACTTTGAGTGTTGTGCTGTTACAAAGTGGTTGTGGTTTATAGGATTTAGAAGACAAGACCCAAAAGGTGGGATGCTTGGAGGGTGCCTTTGCTGTCTTTGGATCCTCAGGCAGAGAATGGAGTCAAGCCCAGCACTGCCCGTGGCAGCTCTAAGTGCTGTTTGCACGTAGCTCTGCACATCCACAGCTGAGCTGAAGCAACACAGCCCATCTGCTGCATCCCCCTTCTGAAAAGGAGGGTGTGAGTCTGATGAGATGGCAGGGCATCAGCAGCTGGAAGGTGGGATTGCCAAAGGGCACAGCCCACTCAAATCACAGCCTGGACATAGGAAAAAAAAAATCATTTCACTTACAGTGAAATCTCTTACCACTCCTAGTGCAGTTCTGAAGTGAACTGCCTGGAAAGTTAGAACCTCCATCACTTTCAAGAGATTTCCAAGACCCTCCCACCACAAGTCATGGCTGACCTGTCAACACATTGGTACTCTGCCTTTACATTAAATTCTGTAGTTTAACTTTCTTTGGTCAGCATTCATTATACCTACCCCGTCCTCACTTGCTGACGTCAGAAGAGAAGAAATTGTTCTTTGCAACAGCTGGAATGAGAAAATTCACAGGTTTTGTTCATGACAAAAATCTTAAGTGCGCAAAGACGTTCTGTTTGTAGTCATATAGAACAAAGATTTATCATTTTAATATCAAAACAGTTTTGTTTCTCTGGCCAAGAAAGCAGAGGAAAGGTGACACAAAAGATGTTTAGAATGGAAGTCTAAAAATACACATTCCTTTCAGACTGTGTAGGCTGAGGTTTCCAAAGGCCCAACCTAAGAAATCCCCTCATCTGGGCCATAGAAGAGTTTGTAGACCTCAGGGTGAACTCAATGACTGCATTATTTGAGCAAGATCTGGGAACTGGGTTCTTAGCCCAATGAAACACAAGCTTAGTATTAGATTAAATTATGGGATAGTCTAAAATATTTTAATTTGTCTTCTGGCAGAACTGTTCACACAAGTGTGGCTTAGAATACCCATGTGTCTACACATCTAGCCTAACTGCACCTGATACACCAGTGCTTATTTCATGCCATACCTTTACTTTTACTGTACTTTGAGATCGGGATGGACAACTCAAGAAGACTTCCAGCTGCATTTTCAAAACTGGCAT